GACGAGGCCGGAGAGGAGTTCTAAACGCTTCGAACACTCCATTGACTTAATGTCTTGAATTTACTGATCTTTTTATAATTTGATTATTTTATCACTAATTCTCTAATTCTGTTCTCAATAAACACGTCAATTGTTTTATTGTATTCCCAAATATTTGTTTGATTTATTGAAATAATGCGGTTTAATCTCTGATACATCTCATGTGAAATCTTGTGGATTCAATTGGGAGCCATTGATTGTTGCAAATTTAGTAGTTGTCTAATACTCATGTAATGGTCAATACAATTGAATTATATTTGGCGTTAATGGTGTTTAAGAAATGGTTAATCAATGAGTTTGTGGAGTCCTATAAAGTAAGGCCTCATAAGGGGCGGTTGGTTCACGTGGACACCACAGTGGATGACACGGTGTGGACGTAGTGTATGTGATGACGTTGGTTGTGGAGAGGAGAGACATCCATATTATGGTTTTGGCCATCAATTTGAGCAATTGTTTGTCATTGCATTGAGTATTGAATGCAAATAAATGTTATGATTGTCTCAATAATTGTCTCACAATTACATTGTATGGTCTCATCAGTGATGTTGTGATTGCGTGCATGTGTTGGACAATGTGTTTGCCATACATTTGAAAGCATAGTCTCATTGTATTGATTGTCGACAATGTTCTGGCAGTTTGACAACGGGTTTGTCTCTCAGATCGATGCCCTCCTCGACAAAGAGGTATCACTAAATCACATCCCATACCAATTGACATGAATTAACACCAATTGATTGGCCCCTACAGACCGTCTCTCTACAAGAACTCATGGACGAGGAGGACATTCTTCAGGAGTGCAAATCACAGAATCAAAAGCTCATTCAATTGTAAGTAGAGTCTAATCCAGCAAATGAAACATTTCTCGGTCTACAGACACTGTTATCACACGAGATATCACTCATAGTATCAAACCATTGATGAGTAGTTTGAGTGATAAGTGATTGGTGTGATTGAGAAGAGCTGTGAGATTGTGATGAATACTAACTGTGTGTTTGTTTTTTAGCATAACTCGTGGTTCAGTAGTGGAAGAGATGGTAACAATGATCACAAGTGAGCCACCGATGGACGTGAATGAGAGGATGCGCTATAAATACGCGAACATCGCGTGTGAGATAATGACCAGTGATGTGAATGTAATAATCGATGCCTTAGTATCGGATGACTCGATGCTCAGCAAACTGTACGGTTTCGTGGACAGGGAGGGCCCCCTCAACCCACTGTTGTCCAGCTTCTTCAGCAAAGTTATGGGACTCTTATTCGTCAAGAAAACGGAAGTTGTGTTTGAGTTTCTCAAGTCTAAAGACTTGATTAGTTTACTGTTGACTCATATCGAGACGTCGGCCGTAATGGATCTGATTCTTAAACTTATAGTTAGTGTCGATAACCTGGATCTCAGAAAAACTATAATTGATGTGAGCTATCATTGTTTGATAATTTGTTAATCGATAATAACTTTCAAATAATTGATTTATTTGTAACGTTTCAGTGGCTCCACGAAAACGATTTAATTAAGAAATTATTATTTATATTGAAAACCGATTGTTTGCCTCAAAGGCATATAAACGCCGCGCAATTGATTTGTGACATAATTAAGACCAGTCGTGAACACCAGTCCCTACTTCAGGACAAAGCCGACAAAGACTTATTGCTTGAGTCGCTAGAATCGTAAGTATTTATACGATTGAAAGCATATGAATCTGTTGATTGAAATGTTGTTGAATACAGCACTGAAACCGTGAGTCAATTACTGGACCACATCTTCACCACCAGAACAGAGAGCAGTCTCGTGAGTGGGCTCTCGATAATCCAATCCCTTCTCGAATATAAGCGCCACTGGTATTGATGTCTTCAAATTGTTGTATTGAAACCGTTGATTCATTTTAGTTTCCCTCCAAACAGTATGAATATCAATACACAGCACATACCGACCCTTCAAACAAATGTTCAAAATTCTGAATTCGAAGGAATGCCTCAATGCTATGGCCAACAGATGCAGAACCTTAATGGCTGTCAACAGCCCACACCTCTCGACACCGAAAGGTTGACTCAATGTATACGACAAGTGGAGGCAGCGATTCTGCCGCGACTCCACGAGTTCTCTTCGCTTCTGGAGAACCCTCCACAACAGCAACCAATCATAACGACCGTCGGTGTCATCGAGAAGCCATTGGGAGCCACACGTCTGGAAGTGGCGCATCTGATCACTGCTCTTCTCAACACTAATAACCAACAAATAAGTGACAAATTGCTTCAAATGAATACTTTGCCTCTTCTTGTGGTAAGTGTTGGTTTGTAAGGATTGTAAGAGTATTTGTATGACTTATTCGTTTATTTTGCGCACAAATAACAGAACCTATTCTTCGAGTATCCGTGGAATAACTTTCTGCACAAACAAGTGGAGCATACGATCGCTTGTATTGTGAACAACAATTGCAACTCTGAATCCAATGGTAACGAATTGCCTCCAGATTGTGATCAACCCATCACTTCAACTAATAATGTCTCGGCTTTAGTCAAACAACTGTTAACTCAGTGCCAACTCATTGAACGAATTTGTGACTCTTTCGATGATAACAATTCATCCAATAATGAGAATCAGACTGAAGCGAAGCCTATATACACTCCTCCGCCAGGATATCAGGGACATTTAGTTATAATCGCCAATTTAATTACTAATAAATGCAGCACTGATTTACTCCAACAACTCTTATCCGCCGAAACATTTGAGAAGTGGAAGACATTTGTCGAACAAATATTAAGCAAAATTAACACAACTCTCAACACTCCGCTCGTTAATGAAATGCCACATTCAGTGGCAATGGATGAGGAGTCGCTCCGACAACAGGAAAGCACACTTCAACAGGTATTCACTACTTGTTTATTATACGGCAGCAAAACATCACTTTAAACGCTGTTTGTTTAGGCCTTCATTGAGTATCAGATGCAACAAATGACACGAAATCTTTGCACTCAGATTGCATTCGCCGCCAATGAGTTCACTGAAGTTAATGAAAGCATTCCGTAATTACTTTTGATTATTCTGTTTAATAGCATACAGTATGTCATTAGTATTAACCGTATTATCATGTTATAGCAATCAAATCGATTCACTCTCGAGAATTAACTTTAATTTTGAGAACCAATTGGTAAACAATTTCTTACCATAAATCGTTGAATAAGTTAATATTTTAATTCTCATTTATAGCAACAAAAGGATAAGAGTTTAGAGTTTGAAAAACTGTGTACCGAAAGAGCAAAAGCAAGTCTTGACAGTAATAGCAGTGATGACGAAGACCTATGGGAAGACCGGGAGATGACTTTCACTCAAACTATTAACGCTGAACACAAGTTAAGCGTGGAATCGGCTGTATTTTCGGACCATTCGTTCCATACATTCAATTCTTCCACTAATCAAATGAATAAACTCTTGAATCCTATGGATGTCGACCAAAATGATCGTAAGTATCCGGCATTCATGTAACTATTGCTGTTGTGATGATATTCCATAATTGGATTTAAGGATTCTAATGACTGATTGCTAGATAGTATCTGAACACAAAATGATTGCAAAATATATGATCATTTATTATTATATGAAAATAACATACATTTGTATCCACTGTTTGATAGCCTGGGGTTCTGAAGAGAGCGCTGCTCCGATGGCACCCATTCCTATGGAGACATCCAATCCATGGGAGAATCTGAACGCAAACAAAATGGAAAGTCAGGAAACTATTACGACCAGCACTTCGGCCATGTCTTCGGGCATAGAAGCAGACTCTTGGGCTGACTTCAGTAGTTTCTCGACAATTGATTTTAACTCTTCCATAATGAGCACATCCATCAGCAATAGTCTCACCACACCTACGATCACATCTTTATCTTCATCTGAAGCGCCGATCCCTACAACCGGTAATTGTTATGATTAATGCAATTTGACATAAAATTTAACGATATTTTAATGAACAGATTTTCCTGAGAGTACTACATGTGACGAACCATTGCTAACATCTGAAGTGGGCTCGAGTTCGAGCGCTGACTCTAAGAGTGCCGCCAATTCTTCGCAGGACTCGGCTTTTGTTAAGAACTCGAGTGAAGATCAGGAGAATGTGGTCACGTCTTCTACCAGCGATTCCATAACTAATGGTCCCAACTCTTGAACACATCTGATGTCTGAGCCATTGTTTTAATAGAAGTGATAATTTCTAAATAATTATATTAAATAAGTCCTCTTATAAGGATTGAAATATATATTTAAAATGAATAATCGAAATAAAATGAATAAATTTGACGACAAATATTTTTAAAGATTAGTCCGAAATGGCTATTTTAAATTAATTTGTTTTAGTTGAATTGCATTTAATGCTATACAATGGTTTTCTTGATAAGTATTGAGTTATTAAATTATTTCTAAAATTATGACATCATTTTGTATTTATAGTTAATGTTATTAAATAATTTGTAATTTGGGAAACATTTTATTTATTTAATGTTAAAAAATCT